TCTGCTCTCCAAAATGCACGTCCATCAATTTTTCAGCGGGACTTTTAACCCGCGGAGAGAGAGAGAAATCGAGTGGGCTCAAATTTGAAGTTCTCAGGAGGTCAGGTCTAGACGAGAAAAATCTCAGATTGCTGAACGGAGAAATTATACACACCTAGAGGCCATTCTTCCCGAGAAAGCTTATAACCCTAACAGCTTAGGAATGGTGGGGAGCAGTCCGCCACAATCAGCTTCGGCCGGACTTTGCATTCAGTACTATGAAATGAACAGACGCCTGTATGCTGAGGTAGCCCAAGCCAAATTCAGATTTTTGTATACTTATGCTCAAAGCCTCGTTTCGAAGATCGATTAACTCAAGGCGCTAGTTTCGGAACGAAACGCCTGCGTCATTGCCATAACGGAATCATAGCTAAATGGCGAATTCGTGGTTCCGAGTTTTCGATACCAGATTATCAGCTATTTCCTAGAGGCGGTCAGAATAGACATGGTTGTGGTGTAGTCGTATTTAAGAACGGGAATTTCAGCAGTTGAACGAGCTCGCACCCTCTCCCTTGAGTATGAACCTGTCTGGATGAAGATAAATAAGACTAATGCACAAAGCCCAGAACTCCTGATTGTTTTCACACCACCAAACCTTCTGAGCGAAGCTGATGTTTCGCTCCTTCATTTGGTCAAGGAAGTCGCTAGCCACCAGTAAGTTCTCCTTGCTGGGGATTCCAAAGCACATACGATAGTGTACGAAAATATGCTTGTTAACGGTGGGCCAGCTTCTTTCCGCAATAAGCTACTGGACCTAACACTCGATCTCCCTCTGACGCAACATGTAAAGGTACTAACAAGATTTCGAGAAAACCAGAGAGGGAATTGCCTAGACCTAGTTTTCACTAAAGACTTCTCTAATATCGACGGAGTGTATTCCAACGCACCTCTCGGGAAAAGTGGCCATACTACGCTACTATGGGATTAGTCGCTCTTCTCTCAACACAAGAGAAAAACAGAAGACCAACCTAATATAAGAAAATAAGATTTTAACATGATGAGGAACGAATTTCTGTCCGTGAATTGGAACTATTTGTTCAGGGGAGATCCGGAGGACGACGAGAGATCGTTCGCGGCGATTTCAATTGACCTAATTCAGCGCTGTTGTTCACCGAAGCTGTAAAAAACGACAAGTCGCCATACCTGGTTAACTAGGAACCTGAATAGGCAGTTACGGAAGAAAAGCAAGACTGAAGATATTCAGAGAAAGCGGGTCACAAGTGCACTTCCAGGACCTTCGTCGTCAACGAAATGTTGTTAAAAATGCATCTGTCAGGCACGGAAGGAATATGAATTCAGGATAATCCGACAGGATGAACGGAAGTCCCGGACATTATTTCAACATATTAAGATTAGACTGAAATCACGGTCTCGGTCGCAGTACTGACAGATGATAATGGTGTAGACATGGTTGAGAACAGCGAGAAAGCCGAACGTTTGGGACGATACCCTGCTTCGGTTTTCACTAGGAAAACAGAGTTTTGTTGTCGCAGTACCAGCATTGTTGTTTAGACTGCTGGTCCTGTGCTTGACTCCACACTGTTAACGACATTTGTCGTGGAGAGGGAGCTACAAAATCTCAAAGAAGCAAAGTCCTCGGGTTCGGACCTTATACCCGCCAAATCCTTGAAAGAATTAGCGAACGAACTATCCAAACCACTAGCACACATCTTCCGTTCGCCATTCGAATTAGGAAGGCTACCCTCCGGATGGAAGGCACTTAATATCTTTCCGACGTACGCACAGATGCCAAAAATTATCGTCCTGTTAATCTCATCTGTATCTGCTGTAAATTAATGGAGGCCGTAGTCAGGGAAACAACGATGGAGAAAAACCCCTCACTCTCAGCACTGCAGCACGACTTCAGGCAGAACCGCTCGTGTCTTTCCAGTTTGTTGCTCTCGAATGAGCAGTGGACTCGGGCAATGGACGAGGATGGTAGGGTCGATGCTACTTACGCGGACTTATATTGTGGTTTATAAAACCGGAGACAAAAACCTATTCTCCATATGTAACAAAATTGTCCTACATCCAAATAATTCACATAGTCGAGCCCCAACATTCGTGGCCAAGCTTACCAGATAAATATTTTCCGCATTGAAGAATATTGTGGTTTACGGGGATCGGGAGTTTGTAAGAGTCTTTTACACATAATCCTGAATAAGACAAGATTCGGGTAGTCCACAGAACTGCAGTTCATCTTGTAGATGTTTAATTCCCCAAAGATTCCTGTACACGTCTAGTTTTCCGTTCGAATTCTGCAAATAAATGATTGAAAAATGAATCTGCTAAAGGAGGAATGCGCACGTGTGTCAATAGATGCTAAGGTTCGTTTAACGCCTCAATGCGCCTAACTGATGCATCAATAAGGGTATTCGCTACTTCTCATTTGCCTAACTTTCAGTCCAGCAGGCACATCGCAAGGACATTTTGAGCACAGTTTTTGATACTACATTTTTGGACATAGGTCAACATCGTATACCACGATATTTTTGATGCGTCAGCTCGGCTTCCTAAACAACTATTTGACGGACATGATTTCCGCTTCTGTAAAACCTGTCCATAACAAAAAGACGGCCATTAACAGAACAAACCGGCGTCTGTGGAGTGGCCTACAGCCTGCAAGCCTTCGAATTCATATTGCCTATGCACTATGCAAAGAGAGGCTTCAGTTCGTCCTTACCATTTTGCCACACTCAAATGTCCCTGAAGTCATCCATTAACGATCGCTTCTTCTTCTGATCAACTAGTTCCTGCAACTCGCATCTTCGCTTGTATGTAACTTTATTAATAACGCGCTCAGCGCGGCTACTGATAGGATGGCTGCACAGAGGGGAAAGAACGAAATATACGACACAAATTTGCGAATTGTTTGTTACTACCCACTGACTAGTATAAAAGAAGTGATGTATAATTTGGGTGAACTGATTGCTTTTTTTCGAGCTAAAATAAATTTTCGCCTAAATATCACATTCAGCGTACTTTTCAGCTAGCATACACGCCAAATTGGTACACGCTAAATTTGCTGCCCACACTGGCGGCTTCCCTGTGTTCCGCTGTTCTGCACCATTATGTCGTCGACCGTCGATTTCGACGATGTCAACCGTGTACCCCAGGGCTGCAGCAGCGGTGGGAGCAGGGACGGTGACTTTCGCAGGGGTTTATAGTGCGGGTAGACTTGCGCTGCATCTACCTACACTCTCTCCTCCTCCCCCGCCTGAGCCCGGTGTCAAGACAGAGTCAAGAAGACCGGAGACGAGGGAGGCCGCAGGTGGATGTCTCGGACGGATCCTCACCTTGGCGTTCCACCACACCCCCTGGTTCAAACAACAATAACTAGGATTTCGACCAACACAACGGAGAGTTAGAGGCTGGCACGACCGAAGCCGTACCTAGGCGCGCCGCCAACGCCTGGCTCGGACTCCACACTGTGGTGGGAGTGCCATACGGCCACATTAAGAAGGAGCCATTGCAGCCTGACTCTCAGACCACCAGCAGTCAAGGAGGAGATCCAAGGTACCCCGTCAGTTGGCAACCTTCCAAGCCACGGCTTTTAACGCACCGTGATAGCTTCAAGCGCGTCAGATTGTTTATAGTGAGGAAAATTCGCTGAGTCGTAGACCTCACTCTCCCTTCCCATCCCCACACCCCAGCCGCTGTCCGAGCCGGTCAGCAGACTGGAGTGGGAAATGGGCGCGGTGGCTGACACGGTCGACTGACCATGCCAGCGCGCGCCACAGCACAACCTGACCCCCCATACATACACACACAACGCGACGAACTGCGTGGACTGAGTGGGGATCTCAGTCAGCAACCTTCCTATCTACGACGGTTGACGTATCGGAATAAACTCGGACTCAAGTCACCCCTGCAGCCGAAGCCGCATGGGGACTGAGTCGAGTTGCCCACTTCCCACTTACGTGGAAGGTGGCAGTTGGGTGCATGCGGTGAATGAACGTTGATGTATGGTGGTGATGGTGGAGGAAGGTAGGGAGTGTGTGGATGTGTGGTGTAACCGGAGGTTGTCTACCGCAGGTCGTCGTGGATGCGCATGTGGCCGAATAGGCCCATGCGATGCCGGAAGGTGCGAGGACAAAGTGGGCAGTTAAGACCAGCGTCGTGGGTATAGGTTAGTGCTCCAGACACTGGTTCGCCAGTCTCTGTGCGATGGATTCGCAAGCGTTCGACCAGACGGATGTGCGAGGTAAAGGTGCGGTCGCAGTGAGGGCAGATGTAGTTCTGATCCTCATCGCTGGAGTCGGAGGAAGTGGGGGTGTTGTCGGTTGTTGCGTCAGGATTGGTGATGTGCGAGACGCCCGCCTGAGC